CATCCCTGGGCAACCTGTGCCAGTGTCTTACCACCCTTAGAGAAAAAACTTTTTTTCTAATATCTAACCTAAACTTCCCCTTCTTCAGTCTGAACCCATTTCCCAGATGGGGCACAAATCCTGCATTCCTATCCTACTTCCCCTAGGTTCTGCTTCCCCTTCTTCAGTCTGAACCCATTTCCCAGATGGGGCACAAATCCTGCATTCCTATCCTACTTCCCCTAGGTTCTGTCAGTTTTTCCAGCCCCAACCCCTGCCCTGGGCAGGGACACCTCCTCACTAGCTCAGGTTGCTCAAGGCTCATCCAGCCTGGATTGAACACCACCAGGGTTGGGGCAGCCACCACATCCCTGGGCAACCTGTGCCAGTGTCTTACCACCCTTAGAGAAAAAACTTTTTTTCTAATATCTAACCTAAACTTCCCCTTCTTCAGTCTGAACCCATTTCCCAGATGGGGCACAAATCCTGCATTCCTATCCTACTTCCCCTAGGTTCTGGGGCTTCAGTTTTGGGCATGAATCAGTTGCCAAAACATCACTGTCCATTGGCATTGTGATGACCTAAGATATTTCATTTCTTCTCCTGCTCAGGTGAAGGGTGTCCCTGTCTGGGACAGGGGTTGGACTGGATTATCTCTACAGGTCCATTCCAGCCCCCACCATTCCAGGATGCTATTATGAGATACTGGTTTTATGCTCCAATCTGATGAAAAGTGCAAAGACCTAAATGAACTGAATGTGTTTTGCTATTTGAATTAGTTTAAAATGATGAGTTGCATCTCTGTCAGTGCTCTACATTTAATCTTATTTCTGATAAACAGAACATATTGAGGCTTAATAATTAAACCCAATGCCATATTATCTGTAATTTGACAAGGTTTCTGTGAAAGGTGGTTTAAGCACATTTTCATGAACTTTCTGAGCGTTTCTATGAATATTTTATTTTTGTCTGTCACGACTTTTTGAAATTCCTCTGCTGGCAAGGCTGCTGCAAATCCTAAATTAGCTTTTCTTCCCTTAGATTGCAAAGAGCATATCACAGAAGATGCCAAACCAGAATCCATCAGTGACACAGCTGACCTGGCTCTGCCACCTGAAATGCCGATTTTAATTGATTTCCATGCTTTAAAAGACATCCTGGGGCCACCCATGTATGAAATGGAGGTAACATCCTCATTTGTTTCTACTCCACTGCTGTTTCTGGCTGCTTTGACTGGGTTTACACAATATTAACTTCTTACAAATGTGTTAGTAACTGAACTGAGTTTCTTTGTGTTCCACCAAGTGGGTTTTTTCACCTAAACAATTTTTTGTCTTAGTTCAGGGTACAGGAATACCATAATGCCATGCCTTTCTCTTAGCAAAGATGCCTGCAGCAGTGCTTAAGAATGTGGTGGTGCTTTTTCAGTTCATAACAACTTTGCTTTTGTTTGGGGGATGTTTGGTGGTCTTGGGAAAGAAGCCAAAAGTAGAACCCAGGAATCTTGTCTCTGAGGCAGCTGTGTGAGACTGTCCCACATAGCTCCTTAAAGCCAGGCAGCATTTTGGGGGATTAAAACCACTTCAGTTTGCACCAGAAGTTCTCAGACATTCTTTAGGTTAATGGGACTCTTGGCTATTAAAAATGCTTTATGATCAGTCAGGCACCTCCAGCTCTGTCCCTCAGTAGGCATATTTCAGCATCTTTGCTTTCCCCCATCTGTATTTTTCTATGAAAATGCCATCAATCAAAGCAGGTTGTGAGGCTGAGATTCTCTTTTCAGCGTTGACACTGCAGTTATTCTCTGCCTTACTTCAGGCCCAGGTGAAGTGCCTGAGTGTCAGTGGCACATAGAGCACTGTGGTAGGAAACTAGTTGCTGATGAAACACTAAATTTTTCTGTCTTTATCCTGGAGAAAAGATGAGTAAAGCAATAAGTTATGGAGAAAATAGAACCGAAGGGAAAACTTTCACAAGAGACAAACCTCTGAGAACTTCTCTCTGATAATTCTTTTCTCCTAGATGAGAGGACCAGACTCAGTGGGATTTGGAGAACAAAAAGGGGACAAGATATGTAGGGGAAAGCAGGAGATTGTTAAGGAGTGAGTCAGTTTTTAGACCTGAACTGAGGATTTTGAATGTGAAGATTTTTATCCTGGAAGAGATTCTTAGTGAAGAGACAGAAATGAGGAACCAAGTTGAAAGGAGGCAGAGCTATTGGTTGTGGTAGAGGATGGTGATGGTAACGGTGGAATGGGTGAAGTGGGAGCCAGGGAAGATCAAGTGACCATCAGACCAGTACCTGGTGACTGTCTTGGCTGAGTTTATTCCCATGGGTCATTTGTGCTGTGATTTATTTCCTTAGAAGAGATTGTCCTTTGGGCAAATGACTTAATTGTAAGCAACTTGTATTTGTTCTTTCCAGCACTCAGAAGCCACAATGGCCAACAATAGAATCACACAAATTGAAAGGTTAGATTGTAGGCCAAGAAATAGGCTAATATAGAACTTTCCTTAGCCCTTCTGTCTAGTTTTGGTGGTGTTTGCAGAGTTGATTTTTCATTTAAATTTGGTAGTGTGACAGCGTGGACAAATAATTCCTGCTATTTTATCCTTTTCCTACAGGTTTAAGTAGTGCAAGTAAAATTATTCAAGTGTGGCTTTTAATTCTACATACACAAATCCATGGGTGCTAGGTAGAGTTTCTTGTTGGGTTGGTTGGTTTTTTAGGGTTTGGTTTTTTTCATGAACAGTTGCCATGAATATGCAGATAAGCTCTGATTGAAGTTTGTGACCTCTATGTCAAAGGGTTGTTTAACATTTCCACATGTTGAAGGCAAATTATGTCAAAGGGTTGTTTAACATTTCCACGTGTAGAAGGCAGATCTAGGGCATAAATAGAACTGGAGATGAATCCACACAGATCAATTCCCTGAGCAGCTCAGGATTTATTTGCATGTACTATTTGCTGCATTTATTAATGAGTAAATATTTTTCAGTATGATTTGTGGGTTTTTTTCCATGTAAATTGCTCCAATAGCCACAGAACTCCTGTTTTAAGGAATTTTCCCAACTAACCTTTGAATTTTCCCAGTTGTTTCAAAGGAAGAGTTTAGCTCCTGTCTCTGACAGGCATTTCACATTGGCCTCTGGTGGTTTTTTGGTTTGGAGCCTGCCAGGTGTGTGTGTCTCCTCTCTCTGTCTGTCCTCAAAGCTTCACCTTCCACCTGCATTTTGCCATTTCTGAGCAGCTGAAACCAAGACACAGTGAGGCAGCCACAGTGTCAGCACTGGGATGAGGCTGAGCCAAGAGAACTGAGAACATGACACCACTTAATTGATCTGTTGTCCTTCAGGGAATACCTTAACACAAGTGATTAATCTTTCACCTCCTCAGTGCATTGCTTGTCTGTTCACTGCACAGGTCTCCCAGCAGCAAGACATGACAGAATATTTAGCTCATACTTGTAGGATTAATTCATTTATCACAAATAAATAATCTCATGTGTCACCCTACAGAACAAATGTTGGAATAAATCACATCGTGAGGCTTTGAAAGAATAATCTTGGCAGTTTAAAGTGTAAAAGATTTCATGAACTGTTTCAGCACAGTTTAGGGGGAAAAGGTTTAAAACATCTCTGGAGTGTTTATAATGAACTGTTTATATTTTTAGCTTGGATTTTAGCTCTATTTTGTAGCTTTTTTTTTCTTCTTTCTTCAACCCTTCGTTCTGCTCAGGTAACCAGACATTACTGGCACCATGGGAAGGCCCATAAGGATTAGTTGGTATCATAATGTGAGTGAAGCTGAGGAGAGAGAAGTTGTAGGTCAATGAAATTGCCTGTTCTAGGAAATGAAAGTGCAGCTGCCATAAAAGTCTGGCTCTGTTTCAAGGGACATGCACAGTTCTAATTAAGGAACAAATTAGGTTATCTTTTAGAAGCAAAACCTGGATGAAGCACAGGTTTAAATAGGCATTTTTATCTGAGAACTGTCAGTCTTGTGGTGATATTTCTGGGAAATCCTCCTCCCCCAAAGGGAAGTCACTGTTGAGGTGCTTTGCCTGCAGTGACCTGCCAGGGAATGAATCAGAAGAGTAGACTAGGAAAAAAAAGGTTTGTACAGTCAGGCTGGGAGAACCTGTGGGAGAACAGCAAAGATGCTAAAGGCAGTAAGTAACTGAGCTGGTTCTCACCTTCCCCTGGTGAACCAGTGACTGAACAGCTTTTTGTCCATTATGCTGATTTACAAAGTCATTCCAGAACTGCAGACAGTGTCTCTTGTCCTTTAGCTTGGAGTAGCCTTATGTATTTTAAAATAAATTACTGTGCTAGATGTTAAGAATTTAATTTAGCAGTGTCCAGGTGGCTAAAGTGCATCTGATAATATGTTCATCTACTCAGATTTACAGCCAAATCATAGCTGGGTTGGTCTCACCTACAAAAACTGCCAAAAAACCAAGAACTTCATGTCTTCATCATCTGACAGACATTACCAGTCATCAGCTGATTCTAGTGGTCATTTGTAATTGGAGTTGTTTAAAAAGTGTAAGAAAGGATTTATTCTAATTTAAATTGCTGTGAATGAAGAAATTATTCAGAGGTGCCAGGAGTGGCTGAGGTTTGTAGCACTCAGCCCAGTCCCTACAGGACAGCAGGAGAGGTTATTTGCCTCTGAGGCTGCAAAGGCAGTGCAAGGAACAGTGGTTGAAAGGTGATTAACACCTACTACACCTCTAGTTTTTCTTACCAGATCTCAACTTACTTGTGAGAGTAGGAGGAGGTACCTCCCTAGTCTGAGAAGAGTTTGTGCTGTGTCCTTCGAACCCTTTGGGGTTTGATTTCTTGTCACATTCCCTGTTTTCTGCCCCTGAGCTCTCAAACGGTGCAATCAGTCTGTAAACTGCTTTGAATTGATGCCTAATGACTTCAAATCCTTTGAAGAGAAAGAATCTCCTTGTGCTTTTGGGGGCAGAGGTTTGAGGGATGATACACCCATGATAGAGTTCACCATTGCCTCCAGCCGAGCTGCCTCTGTAATCAATGTTTACACATAGCCAGAGTTACAAACAAAATAAAAACTAGGAGATCAAACACTTGGCTTAACTCGTGTGTACAGTATGTACAGTTATTTCGCAGGCAACTCTCAAATTGCTTTTGTGGTAGTTTTTCTTTTTTAATGGCTGTTTCCTGACCCATTTCTTGTGTTTTCCCTCAGGTGTCCGAGCGCCTCAGCCAGCCTGGAGTAGCCATAGGCTTGGCCTGGACTCCCCTGGGAGGGGAGATCATGTTTGTGGAGGCGAGTCGCATGGATGGGGAGGGGCAGCTGACCCTGACCGGGCAGCTGGGGGACGTGATGAAGGAGTCAGCTCACTTGGCCATCAGTTGGCTGCGCAGCAACGCCAAGAGATACCAACTGACCAACGGTGCGTGCGCTGGGGGCCCTGCCCTGGCTGTCCTGCAGCCATTCAGGGTGGGAGGTAACTCCTACTCCTTGTGGAAAGGCACCAAGTGTTGCCATGACAGGGTTGTCCAGCCAGCAGTGCTGCAGTGCAGGTGAAATCAGCCACAGAGTTCCTTTGTGTAGAGCATTCCCTGATTGCTGTCAGGCTGAGGTGTTTGTTCTGTTGGCACATGGGTCAGGACAGAACAGAACTGCAGCTCTCCCACCCTGGCCAGTCTCTCCCTGCAGCAGCCTGGAAGGCTGTGGACAGTCCCTGTGCTGTGGCAGACATTGCCTCTTACTCATTTTTACACTCAAGCTTTCCAGCAGTACCCTCATGATGTTAGTAGGCAGAGAACTATAGTTTTTCTCTAAGACACAGGCTCTGATAAAGGTATGTTTTTCTAGTCTAAGTTTTGAGAACATTGAGGTTTATGGCAGCTGTTGAACCTGTTGTGCAGAAATTTTGGCCGAGAATATTTTAACTCTTTTTAGTTTGAACCTCCCAGGAGTTTTGGAAATGTGATTTTAGTTTGATCATCTGATGAACAGGCACATCATTGTCCAGTATGTGTGTCATTATTTATGGAAGTTTAGATAGGTCAAAAGCCAAAATGGAATTAATGTCTGAAATGCTGCAGGCACTGTGAGCACATTTACCTCTCTGGTTCACACTCCATGTACTCCACAACAGGTGAGAAGATATGAGAGATTTGCTTTAAAACAGTGCAGGTTTCTGGGGAGTGCTGATGTTGTGCTGTGTTCTCTGAAAATGGACATTTATGGTTTGGGACATAAATATGCAGAAATTCCTTGGTTTCTGCATCAACCCCTACTCTGGATTTCCCAACACCTGCAAATGCTGAGCTGATTGGTTAACATGCTAGGGCTTTTTCTAGGAATCTGGATGTGGCAAAGCTTATTGTGTTTTCTTTTTGTTGGGTTTTTTTTTTCCCTAAGGCCTCTGCAATATAGTATTGTTTTTTTCAGCCTACTGTTAAAAATTAGTGCCAAGGCTTTTCTTGGTGGCTTTAGAATAAAGCCCAGGAACAAAATGGGTTTAGATTTTTAACATTCAAACCATTCTTTTTTTTTTTTTCCTTAAGCTTCTGGAAGTTTTGATCTCCTTGACAACACTGACATCCATCTGCACTTCCCAGCTGGAGCTGTCACAAAAGATGGACCATCTGCTGGTGTTACCATAGTAACCTGTCTTGCTTCACTCTTCAGTGGGAGGCTGGTGTGCTCAGATGTAGCCATGACAGGAGAAATTACACTAAGAGGCCTTGTTCTTCCAGTAAGCATCATTGGAGAAAAGAGCTAAGTTGTATTAATTCTGCCTGTTCTGGATATAAAATCTGTTTATAGCCACTTAGAGCAGCAGAGTCCTGCTGGAGCATTCCTGAGCAGCAATCCAGTCTCTCGTGGTGCAGTTGGAGGAGGCTGATGGAATCCAGACTGCTGCAGTGCTGCACCACTCCTCTCTGCTTTCATTTTTTGGTTACAGCTTGCCTTGATGTGGGTTTGGGGGCAAACACATTAAAATGGCTAGTTAGAAAGGAAACCTAGAGATCTTAACATTCAAGGTGGTTTCCAAGTATGTATTGTGATTTCTGACCATGCTTCCTCCAGCTATTAGTGCAGAACTATTTCCAGTTTCCTCAGAAAGCTGTTTCTTAGGGTAGCTGTGTATAAGGTTCCTCTTGAAACCATTCTCCACACATCTGTTTTTAGATTCTTCTTGAATGTTGTCCTTGTACACAGTTCAGCCAAATGGTGTTCCCATAAAGCTTTTCCAAAGCATGAGGAAAGTTTTCAAACACAGTTTAAAGTGTCAGTGGAGTCTGGTACAGGTGATGGAGCAGATATGGGAGTTCTCATCTCCTACCAGATGGTGGGACAGCAGAAGGATGAAGTTGGAAAATAGAGACAGTGTTCTGTTTCTTGCAGAGGAGAGTAAACCAGATGACATGGTAAGTAGTGGCCTAGAGCAGCAGTGTGGGCAGGATGGCCTGGTGAGCCCTGCATGAACCCTCTGAGCTCTCCAGATTGTTTTTACTGCACCAGTCACCAGATTTTGCCTGCTGTTAAAGGTGGGTGCAGAGATTGGTACTGTCAATGCTAAGGCAGCTCTACTTTCTCCCTGAACGTTTAGACTCTTGGTGTTACTAGTAACTGAATTCCTGAGAGCATTTGCCACCAGCTGCACCTGCTGCTGGAAGCAAACCCTGTGCCAAGTGTGCAGCAGTGTCAGACTGGTGGGATCACTGTGAGGATTATGGCTCACTACTACCTTGTCTTACAGCAGCCTGAGTTTTGCCCTTTGTGCTGCAGTACAAGGCTCTCCTCTCCTCCACAGCACTGTAAAATTACAAGTTTCTGCTGTAAGATGTCTTTAATGAGGATTAGCAAAGACTTTGGGGGAAGAAGCTACAGCTAGGATTGTAAGAATTTCATCCACCCCCTCTTTACATCTCATTACCAGCTCAAACAGGTCCTCAGTGCCTGTTGTTGGAGCACAAAGCAGCTCTCCAGGTTGGAAGCACAGGTTTGCTCTTCTGACATTTTTGAGGTACAATTCCAGTCATTGGAGCACAAAGCAGCTCTCCAGGTTGGGAGCACAGGTTTGCTCTTCTGACGTGTTTTCTGAGGTACAACTCCAGTCACTTATCATGTCACATTGCTTCCTCAGGACTCTGCCCCTAAATCTAACACAGCCCTCCAGAAACATCTCCAGTTCCAAGGCAGCTCAGGATTTCAGCATACAGAAACTGGAGTGAAGGCCACTTTGGCTAAAAGTGTCCTGAAAAGGAGTGACTTCTCCACTGCTGATGCTCTTGTACTCCTAGATTAATTTTGTCCTGTTATTAACTGTTACAGAAAGAATACCACAGCATATTAACATATTTCCCTCATTAAGCACATAATGAGCTACAACGGTGGCTGCATTTTTAATTGCTTTCCACCTCATTAAGCACATAATGAGCTACAACCATGGCTGCATTTTTAATTGCTTTCCTCAATGACTGGGGGAGGCAGAACCTAACATGGAGATTGAACTCCTGATCAGATTAGTATCATTGGGGTTTTTTATATGTATCTATTCCTTCTCCTCCTTAGGTCGGGGGAATTAAAGACAAAGTGCTGGCAGCACACAGAGCTGGGCTGAAGAGAGTCATCATTCCTCAGAGGAACGAGAAGGATCTGGAGGAGATTGCCCTGCACGTGAGGCAGGACCTGAGTTTTGTGCTGGCAGGATGTCTCGACGAGGTCCTCAACGCAGCCTTTGATGGAGGATTTGCAGTTAAGCCCAGAGTTGAGCATTTGAATAGTAAGCTCTGAGCAGCCAGGCTGAGATTACTTCTCTATCAAGTTTCATAATTCTTGTTCTCTTTCAGCTTATGTATCTATGTATCAGGTGTAACTCTGAGTTAAACTTGATTGTTGAAATGGGGGTGCAAAGGCAATCAAAATGAAAATGGTACTGAAATGGCTTTTGTGGGCACTTGTTGCCTTTTATCAGCAAAGAATCCTGAAAAAAAATATTAGTTTTCTGATAGGTTCAAGCAGGAGAAAGCTGAAGCTGTTGAGAAACAATCTTTAGCCTGTCTGGCAGGTCCAGCCACAGAGAGAGCAGTGCAGGTCAGGGTGAATCTCCTAGGAGATTCTCAGAGCTGGGGTTGTTCCAAAAAGCAACTGAGTTAGTGCAAGAGTTTACTTATTTAGCAAATGAAATTTCTAATTACTAATGCTCAATGTGCTAAGGAGCAATAGCTTCAGGGAGAAATAAGGTTTAAAAAAGCTAAAAAATACATTTAAGGGATTTGGACAGAAGCACTATGGGCTGGAATTAAGTTAGTAAGTTCTTTCAGCACGTGGTTCTAGTTTGTAGCATCGTTTTTCAAACCTTAGCAGAGGAAGCAATGCCAGGGCTGAAATGTAGGAAGTGCTGTGTGAGAAGGGAGGTAACTCTCACGTGTGCACAGTTAAGAGCAGCAGAGGCAGGTGCAGCACACCTGAAGCCTTTATGAAGAATCCTGGTAACATTTTGGAGGGACAAAGCACATTTCCTTAGTTCTTACCTGATAGACTGGACTCTGGGGTGCCTATGTCTGGAGTTAGCCTAGGGAGATTAAAAGCACTTAAACAATGCCAAGAAACCTCTGGATCACTGAAGTGCATTTGGTTCTGCATCTTGTGAATAATTTAAGGTTCCAGAATTCTGGCAGTTTCCCCTCTCAGCTGATACTTAGTCTCTTATCATCCCCTGAACTTTGCTGCTGAGGACAACACTGCAATGTGTGATCCAGATGTTTGGCATTGTTTGCACCAGGGCCAACCCCAGGAGCAGACCAGGCTGTTGTTACATCCTCCTGCTGTTCATTGGTTCTCAAACAAACTCCACTCTCTGCTTACGCAAACTGCGCCAGTGGCAACAGCCTATTCCAGAAGCAGCCTATAAATCAAGAGAGTTTGCTTTGCTTTCATTTCCATAGATAACAAAGCTGATTTACCTGGAATGTACAATAGCACTGATAGGAATAAATTCAGGGGGAGTTTCTGCACCTGTTTTACAAGATTTTACAACTTTTAAAGAAGGCTTCATCTAATAAAATGATAAAAACAAACCTCCCTTTTGTGTCACTATTTTAAGAGCCAAGTTCCAAGACTATGAGGCAACACACAGAGCCTCAGAACACCTTCAGCCTTACAAGACACTGACAGGCAAAAGTGCAGAGAAACTAGACCCTGGCTAGGCAGGACAGCACAGGAATTAGTATCCTGCTGCTCTGCCTTGAACAAAACCTCTAGGGAAAAATCCTTTACCAAACAACACAGCTCAAGTAACAATCCTGCACTGCTCTGCACCAGTGAGAGCACAGACATGCATGGAATTCCAGCACAGGCTCTTTAGACATGTACAAAACAAACCTGCATTGCTTTTTAAGAAAGTAAGGACTACTTAAAAAAAAAACCAAACCAAAACCATTTCCCACCACAGCAAAACAGGGAGCTGCTCCCAGGAAAAGTTAAGCAATGACTTTCTGTCTTAACACCACTCCAGTTCCAAAGTCTTGCCCACAGGGGCTTCACCTCAAGGGTGAGGAGCATTTGCTGACAGCTGTTCCTGTTGGCAGAGGAGGTGATGTTACTCGGAGACTTTTTAAACAAAACCTTAGGATTACCCATTCTGGCAGACACACTCTGGTGCCTTTTCTTTTGCTTGCACTGACCAGTTGAGTAACACACTGTGCCAGAGCAGTAAAGAACTCCTGAAGCCCTTTTAATACCCTGGGGGTGATTCTGTTTCGCAGCTGAGTGTTAGATGGACCTGATATTAAACATATGTCCCTCAGAAAAATACCCTGAGATAGCTAAAGCTTATCAAAGGTTAAAACAAGCACTGGTAGCTCCTTTCCTCTATCCACACTATAAATCACTGCAGAGAGTAACTATCCCACTGGTGCAATTCTGCTTTAATCAGAGTAGCTTTGAAAAGATGCTGGATAATGCAACAGGACAGGCAGCAATACAGAACCATTCACCTGCTTCATTTTAAAGCACTACTGCAAACAGTATGAGCAGGAACTGTCACAACAAAATCCACATATTTACATCCACATTTGTCAAACATTTTAAGGCTTTTTTTTTTTTTATTCCAAAGGGCAATGAAAACCATGGAGGTAGTGCTAGCAGACAAATCCAAGATCTACTGCATTTCATCTACTTGAAATTGGAGATA